AAAAAAATTTAAGTGTGAAATAAAATTTGAAGTAAAAATGTAAGCTTGCTATATTAAAAAAGTTTTACTCTTCATTCAGTACTTACCTATTTTTAAATGAAAGCAAATGTATTATTAAACACCTTAGAATTTTAACATAAACATGCATATATAGCATTTTCTCTGCTTTAAATTTTGCCAAATGACAATATGAATTAATACTAAATTTTTTTCTAAATCATTTTTTTTGTTCCTTTTTTTGAATATTTTTATGGCCTATGTGAAAATTTAGATCGTAATACTAGAGAGGAAAATATCTTCCAAGAGAAAAATGTATTAAAATTATACTAAAGAATAAAATAACTCATTTTCTCAAATGAAGAGTCTACAGACATTTTAGTAAATGAATGCAAGTTTTAGAATTTACTCAGAAAAACTGAAAAAGAATTTACAGGACAGTATTGTCGTATAGTAAGAGGCTCAAATGTGAGGTAAGTTTTGTTGTTGTTGTTCTTGTTTAATACTACGGAAATGGAGTTGACTACACCTGAATATGAAACCATTTTAATGTTTTGTGGTTTCTAAACATTAAATGAGGTGCAAAGTTGATAAGTAACTTTCTTTCCATAGCATCAAATGCCCAGAGTGAAATATATGAAATTTACTATATTCTCTAAACATTATCAAATAGGTATGAATGAATGGCATATATATATGCATATATAGCATTTTTTCTATTACAGTTTTAAAATACATAGGAAAATCAATAAATTAAAAAGTAATGATGAATGACAGCAAGATTCCTACAGGGAAGATTAAAAGGTTCTGTTTAAGATATAAAGAGCCTTGGTGGTGCTGTGAGTTAGGCGCTGGACTACAAATTTGCAAGGTCAGCTCTTTAAACCTACCAGTTGCTACTAGCTTGGGAAAAAGATGAGGTGTTCATAAAGATTTAATGTCAGAAACCTCATATTTGGCTGGTAAGGGTTGGAATGGAGGTGGATTTGGTGTGGATTGGGGTTTAATGTATAAAGTACCGATTCCATGATTAATGATCTCATAAAAAAGGATTCTGCCATGAGCACTTTTCTAGGGCAATGAAGGGGTAAAGATATTGACTAGCTATCAAAATAAATTTAACACTCAGATCATAAAATGTGGAATGAACTGAAAGGACTGACTCGGTGGCCCAGAGCAGAAAGATGTAGCAGTATGCTTTGGGAAGTTTCCCAGCCTTGGAAATGCTAAGGGACAATTCTACCCTATCCTAATGTCAACAGGTTTTGTTTCGTGTTTGATATCAGCTGTGCCAGATGAAATGTTTTTTCACTGATCTTAAGAAAATCTGCTTAATACAATAAAATCTATTTTAATCTAATCTACCCGTAAAGACCAAATTCAACTACCCAAGTTCCTATAAAGATTTGTGTGTGTGCATGCACACGCACGTGTGTGTATAAACATTAACAGTTGATTTTCAAAGAGGTTAACAGACTAGAGTCTAGACTACTCTGATTAAAATACTGCAATTTTTTACTCCTGACTTTTAAAAATATCATAATTACTCCATTTATAGTCTTGTCTACACATGCCCCCTATTTATGAATTGAAATTTGAAAGCATATTTTTTTACGAATTAAAATTTTGCAATGATGATAGTTCACAAACTACAGTAAAATCTTTGGTATATTTGAGATAATAAATGAACTCATTTTATACTTTTTTTTAAAAAAAGAGAAAGACACATCAAATACCTTGCCATACACTTCATATGTAAATATTTCTTAAAGTCCATCAATTGAAATTTTTTTCTACATGTAATTTAACTATTATTTTATTCCACCTATTTTGAAAAAGTTAAAGCCTCCGTTGGTCTTGTCTCATTCTAGGGAATCTTTTCTCCCAAGATTTCTATTACGATGCACTCTGCAGCACGTGGGAGCTCAGCACGTCCTTGAGTTATTCAGTCAGGCAGAGGACAAAGAAGTTAGCATGAGAAAGTGAGACTGTGAATACAGAGATAGGACAGAGGGAACTGCATAAGAAGAAGGACCAGGCATACTTAATATAACGGGACCTCTCGTATGGTTCAAGGTATGTGTGGCCAAAACGTCCCAATCAAACTAAAATGCAAAGGAGGAGCACTTATTTGACTTTAGGTTTGAACAAAGAACAGCAGATACACTAAATGCTGCCTTTGCTGTATAAACTTGGCATTTATATAAGTTTCATTTTAGAGTTAATAAAAGGAATGAGGCCACAAAGAAAAAAGGAACCAAAGGGGTAAACAGAGAAAAATGAAAATAAGAACACTAAAGCACAACTAGTCAAGACAAACAACAAAGATCATTTTATAGGTGCACAGGCAAGAGAAGTCAAATATTTGTAATGATTTCCTCTTACTATAAGAGGGGTTCATCAAAATCTAGTGAAAAGGTAATGGAATTTTTCCATAAAAGGTTAGAAGTCCCCACAGACACCTAAGTATCCCTGACGCTGCAATGGTTAAATGCACATCTGCTACGCAAAAGGTCACTTGTTCGAACCTACCAGCCACTGGTTAGGAAAAGAAGCCTGGTTCACCTGCTGCTGTAAAGACGGTTGTTCGTGCCATTTAGTGTCTACCACACACAGCAACCCCACGGACAACAGAATGAGAACCGGACTGATCCTGCACCGTCCTCACAAGTGTTATGTATGAGCCCATTGTTGCAGCTACTTGAAGAACCCATCTCATCAAGGGTCTTCCACTTCTTCATGGCCCTGGTTTCCTAAGACAGCATGTCCATGTTACAGCATGTCCATGTTACAGCATGTCCATGTTACAGCATGTCCATGTTACAGCATGTCCATGTTACCTCACCACCTCACTTCTAAGGAGCATTCTAACTGTGCAAGTTCTGCCAAGACAGAATTGCTTTTCTGGCAGTCCATGGTACTGAAGTGATCTTCGTCACCATGATAATTCAGAAGCATTGGTTCTTCTTGGGTCTTCCTTATTCATTGTCCAACTTTCACACGCATATGAAAATACTGTGGCTTGGATCAGGTACAGCTTAATCTTCAAAGAGACGTCCGCACGCTTTAAAACTTTAAAGAGGTCTTCTGCAGAGTTGCCTAGTTTAATAAGGAATTTGATTTCTTGATTGCTGCTTCCATGAGCAGTGATTGTAGATGCAATTAAAATGAGATTTTGCCATAATGTTACCTATTGGTGCAGCTGAGAAGACTTTGGCTTTGTTTACACTGAGTTGTAATCCATCTGAATGTGGCAATCCTTGATCTCATCACCAAGTATTTCTTTAAATACCTCCTCACTTTCAGGGAGCAAAGTTGTATGTCTGCATATTTCAGGTTGTTAATAACCCTTCCTCCAATCCTGACACCCCTCATTCTTGTTCAAATAGCTCAGCTTCTCTGATTATTTGCTCAGCATACAGAATAAGGAAGTCTGATAAAGGGACACAACCCTGACACACACCTTTCCTGATTTTAAACTGTGTATTGTACTACGTGCCACATCAGTACAATGAGTGCAAGAAAGTGTTCTATAATTCCCATTCTTGCCAATGCTATCCATAATTTGATATGAATAACACAGTCCAATGCCTTGGTATAGTCAAGAAAACACAAATAAACACCTTTCTGGTATTGTTTTCAAGGAAGATCCATCTGATATCAACAGTGGTATTAACCCTCATTCCAGGCTCTCCTCTGTGTAATGGTTGGGTTTCTCATAGTCCTCTGTGGATGGATGGCTGCATTGTTGAATTATCTTCACTTTACATGCATGTGCTACTAATGATATTGTTGGATAATTTCCATGTTCTGTAGGGTCAGCTTTCTTTGAAATGGGTACAAGTATGAATTTCTCCCAGTCAGTTGGCCAGGAAACATTTTCCAAATTTCTTGGCCTAGACCAGCGAGTACCTTGAGAGGTTCATGAACTTGTGGAGACATTTCATTGTTCTCTCAGTTCCTGAAGCCTTGTTTTCTGTGAAGGCCTTCAGAGCAGTGTGGACGTTTTCTTTCAAAACCAGCAGATTTTCATCATACTACCCCTTGAAATGGTTGTATATGGATGAGTTATTTCTGGTGCAGTGACCATGTATTTCCTCCAACTGCTTTCGGTGCTTCTTGTATCATTCAATATTTCCCCCGTTGAACACTTCTATATTGTAACTTGAAACCCTATGGAGCTACTCGACTCAGTCCTCTATAGCACTGCTAAGTCAAATTAATGCAACCATAAACAAGAGCAAAAATATAGACATACTTCTCTATGCATCACCAAACAACTCTTCGATCCCAATTCCTTTTACTATGAAAAAATGTGCTCGTGGTCTAAGTCAACGTTGAAACTTAGTTATACTATATGGTTGAGCTAAACAATTGGGTTACTTAAAATGCCTAAAATTAGGTTACAATAAAAAAAAAAAAACAAAAATAACACAAACAACTATTAACAACCCCTCCCACCAAAGTCACTGCTTACTAGTAAACATCGTCTTTCCCACAACACAGCCGCAAGTCTTTCAAATTGTGAACGACACATATCTCAGCTCCCGTGCTTTTCATACTTACAATCCTTCTCTGCCCCCATCAATCAGGGCTTGAAATAACGGCTTGTTATGAGGTATAGTTTGTAAAATGTTGCCATCCCCTGTCACGTAGCCAATGGCCCACTGCCCCAATCGAGTACAGCTTAACCTAAAAATGTAGCTGCAATGCAAGAAAAGATAATTTTCAGTCCCATTCCAAACATGTGCTAATTGCTGAGAATTCAAGTGTTCAAAAACAAAATAGAAAACGCAAACAACACAGTCATTAAGAAGTCTTGCTATAAACGGTCATCTCTAAATTTGGTCTTGTTATCACGGTGACACCATTTAGAGGAGCCCTAGTAGCCCAGGGGTGAAGAACCTGGCTGCTAACGGAAAAGTTGGGTCTTCGTCCCCACCAGCAGTTCTGGGGGACGAAAGACAGAAAGAAAGATGTGGCACCTAGATGACAGCTTTGGAAATTCTAGGGGCAGCTCTAATTTGTCCTACAGAGTTGCTGTGAATCAATGGCAGTGAGTTGGGCACTTCATTAATTGCAGCACAGCGCGTGGTTCTTACGGAGAAGTCAGTGGTTCAGACCCACCAATCGCTCTGTGCAAGCAAGATGCGGCAGTCTGCTTCTACAGCGATATGCAGGTCCTGTGTAAGTCCTACTTTGCCCTGTACAGTCTCTATAACGGACTCAACAGCAGTCTCAGCATGTTAAGTAAACATTTATCTTTCTATTAAAAAAAACAAAACCCTAACCTCACTGCCGAAGTTGATGCTAACTCATAGTGACCCCTACAGGACAGGACAGAACTGCCGTGTGCTTTTCTGAGATAGTAACGGTTTATTGGAACAGAAAGCCCAGTCTTTCTCCTTTTCTATAAAAGAGGCACTAATTTTTTTCTACTTCTTTAGAATACTCTAGGATAATGTTAAAAAAAAGGAAGTGTTATCTAGCAAATGATTTACTGCCATTGGGAGTGCTATGTATGAAAATGCTGGTAGTTTGAATCAGCTCTGACATAAACCATTTTTTGGAAATAGGCCAAGTAAAAATAAAAAAGCTAAAATCTAATTTGTTCACCTTATACACAAACGAATAAGCAGGTTTCCAGTAACTAATATGGGATGTTTTATTTTATCTTCAGTTGTTAAATATCTTGTTTAAAAATAATACTTTTCATCCAAGCATTCTAGCCATCCGTTTTACACAAAAGCTCAAAGGAGCTGAAGTGCATTAATGAGAAAGCAAACTAGGTATGTTCATGGCTGCTATTTGACCATGTCAAATCAAACATCTTCATTTGGAGTTAAAAAATTTAGTTGAATGCTAAGTTTATTAAAACCAACTCCAAAATAAACAAAAACTAACGCCAAATAAGAGATATTGTCTTGACTACAAATTCATCATTTATTTATTTGTTCATTTAGCGATCTCCTAAGTACATCATACTCACACATGTCATAATGATTTCCATATCTGAATTTTATGAGCCATAATATGGAACAAGAGAATGTCAACTGCTGGCTAAATCGGAGTTCTCTTACTGCTGTCACTGGGTATTGCAATCACGACCAGGCTCAACTGTTTGCTATCTGGATTTACTACCCAACTGTTCTCTGGATCTGCTTCCAAAGAAGTCAGCCAACGAGACATATGAAGGTCAGTTCTACACTGAGGCAACCGGCTTGCCAGGTGCTGGGTTCCACTTACTGACAACTAGTAGATTCTTTAATTTAGCTTCTGTAAGTATGTGGCAGAAATAAATATTTCTTTATAAACATTAGTAATCGATGAATCAGGATACTTTCAAAGTATTTTACAAATTAATGTTCTATATATAATGGCTTTTATGATCTTCTCTCACTTTGGTATGTTACGGTAGATGGCATATTTTGGTGGTGCCGGAAGCACCAGTATTACAAATAATAGAAGGCTGACCCTTGGTAGAGAGGTATCCACAGAGCTTCCAGACTTAGAAAGACTATGGCAAAATAGAAGAAAGAGCTGGAAGTTTGCTTCTAAAAAACCAGGGGGTGGGAGGTGGGGCACTAGAATTGATTGTGATTATGTATTTACAACTCTTTTTAAAAGCAATTTAACTACTGAAGTATTGATATGTGGACACTGTATCAAGAAAACCACACACACACAAATCATGACCAGTGGTTAGCGCAGCTGAAGAGAAAGAGTTGCTGCATAGGGGACATCGAGCTTAATTCAATGGTGGTAGAATGATGTGAAAAGGGTTATCAATAAGGGGTGTACAACACGGGGTGTTCAATCAGTGACACTGAATTATACAACTAGAGTTTGTGGAACCAGAGAATGTCTGCTGTGCATATTTTTGCCACGATTAGAAAAAAAAATAATTACACGAATCACAATGACTACGAGAGAAAGAAACTGTTCCAGAATTTACCACGTTGATAGTTGTATAACTCTTCTTGATATGAATTACTGAATTGTATGGCACTGGATAAAGTGCTAATAAAACTGTTTAAAAAAAAAAGCTGGCCCATGCAAACCTTAGGAATAGCAGCAGACAGCTGTCTGGTAGAGTGCCAGAGGTGAGCCCCTAGAGGCGGAAAGACGCTCAGAACACACTGGGGAAGAGGGGCTTCTGCAAGGTGTGTCTGACGTTGCTGATGTGGATGGAGCAGGGCTTTGAGGACCTCCATGGCATGATCTGGCATTACTCATAACGAGAAGAAATCACTTCAAACAACCACTAAAGAGCAAAACAAGTAATACATCAAGCATGAATCTGGGAAAATTAAAGGTGGACAAAAATGCAAGCGAGCACATAAAGATCCATAACTGTGCATTAGTGAGTGAGCAGAGATGGAGTCGTACTGATCATTGTGAATTGGACAATCTCAAGGTGCAAGAGAGAAAGATGAGGCTTCCTTTTCCCATAAAGAATTACAGTGTTAGAAACCCACAGGGGCAGTCCTACCCTGTCCTACAGGGTCACTATGAGCCAGAATTACGTCAACAGCAGCAACTTTGACTTTGGGGATGGTCTACTCAAACAAATGACAAACTGAGGAAAAACAATATTACATTCATTCCTCTGCAAAAATATTTCAAAGATATACCCTTACGTTAAAAAATGCCAACGATCGGATAATATCCATACACCTGTCTACAAGGAACACCAGTTAGGTTGCGTATTATTCAACACCATACACTGAGAAATGTCAAATATGAGGAAAGTAAGGATGTTTACCAACTTCTTTAGTCTGAAACTGATCGAACATGCAATCAAAAGACCCAGAGGCCTTCACTAGATATTGAACTGCTCTGAGTCTTGCTTAGTTTAATCATTTGGAAGATGAAAAACAAAACAAAACATGCAGCTTCAGGTATTGTGTAAGAAGACTGCCAAGGCATGATATTGGTTAGGATTTTATCTATGAACAGCAACAAATACTTACATATGTTTATCATAGAGTCAAACTGGGTATATGGCCTGAAAAAATACCCTAAAGGAAGTAATATCCAAATCATGTCTTTAGTACGAAATTAATATGTTCAAAGTAAAAAAAAACTCTTCTTACAATTTTATACACAAACATGGGTGTCACAAAAGAGTCAGTGTGTTAATATTCTATTCCAAATAGAAAATTAGAAATCAAGGCTTACTGGAATCTCTACATTTATCAGAAAATACATATTCGTACATTTCCTTCACTCCATAAAAATTGTTTCAAAATAAACACAATGTATTAAATTAAAGAATTCGCGGAAGGAGGGAGCAGTAGCCTGCTTTATTAACAGTATTTCCCCCCGGGTATGACTGATTTACTTAGGCATGACCAATGAGGATTTTTCCTCCTGGGTGATATGGCGTAATATAACTGCTGAAAAGCTTTACCTTCCAGGTTTGGTGCTGTGCTTCTGTAGTCGTGCTTTAACCTCATCATATGTGAGAAATGCCATGTAACCTGGATGTGTTACGGCTAAGAAATTCCAATTCCGTAAAATAGAACCCCAAGGCTGAAAATAGAAATAAAATGAAATGAAATTATCCAGCGAAAAGCAATGACCTCTAACATATCGGCTCATCATCTAATACGCTTGCAAGATTCCTCTGGAAACTTTTAAAGTTATGATGTGTTTATGTGGCTTAGGTCAATCCTTGTCACCTGATAGGAGACATGCAATAGTTTATTCGTTTTTTAGAGCAATATCAATAGATAGAGCACCGATTTGAGAACAGAATACAGGGAGCTACAAGAAGAAGCAGGGTATCTCTTCTCAACAAAGTCTCTCATCAATACAGCATTTGTGATCATTTTGGAAAATAAATCACATCATTCTTCTGTGCAAAACCTCAAACTTTTGAGTAAAAAGCCTTTGTAAATAGCCTAGAAAGAACTTCACAAGATCTGGCTCCCTGATTTTGCCTCCACACCCCTGGCTTTACATTTGCCCACTGTCAATTGGAGTCAGGTCAGAGGAGCACTCTCCAACTGAAGAGCCCTTTATCTTCTACCTGAATTATACTTTCCCTCATATATCGATCTGATTCCGCTCTCCACATGGCACCTCTTCAGGGACCACCCTCTGTAAAATGGCAACCTCCCATCACACTTCTTAATTGTCTATGAATTTGTTTTGTTTGCAACCACATCTTAAGGATCTAGGCTCATGCCTGAATCTAACAGATGCTCAATACACATTTGTCGGATGGACAGTGAGGAACCAGAGAGAGAAGGCAGTTACACGTGTGGCTAAACTGTTGCAACCCAGGCTCTGCCAACAGCTGTTCCTTTGTGGTCATAAACAAGTGATTCATCTGCTAATCTTAATTTTCTTTCCCAGAAAATGAATATTACAATAGAACCAAATTCACAGTGATGTAAGTCTAAGTGAAATGGTATTTAAAAGGGCTAACACTGTAATGGCATTTGGAAAATTTAATTATTATCATATGACTATGATTGTTGGGTTCCTTATTTTAGGACAAGAAAAGCCTATCATGGAACAACTTGACAAGAGTTACATATTAACCACAAGCTCCATGAGGGCAAGGAAAAGGCTTGCTTTATTCTCCGGTGGGATATCAATACCCTATGCCTAGTCTCAGCTACCCAGTAATCAATCAGCAACAATTGTTGCTCAACAGATCCTCTAATTAATGACTTATCTAAATGTCTGGATTCCCAGTTTAGTGCTCGTCTTAGTAACATATTAAACTTGCAGATGTTTCTTGATACAATTAAAATTAAGAGAGGTTTGGGGTTTAAAAGTTAAATAGAAACCTTCTATAAAAATCCAAATACAATGGTTTGCATCCTTGTACAGTTCCCTCTCTAATGTAGTCTGCTTTTCTTCCAGATGCCATGGCAAGAGAAAAAGGCAGGTGGTGTAGGACAACTTTGCTAAAGGGATGCATGGGTCATGTCTGCCACATTTTTAATGCGGAAGCTACCTTAATGTCAAGGAATTGGCAGCATACTAATCTGATATGCTAGATTATTAACTTAAATTTTCTACATAAAAAAAGACATTTTCAGATGGTATGTTAAAGTAGTTGAAATAGTCATCCTAGACACGAATGCTGCTTTTGCTTGCTTTGAGACTTGCTCTTCAATATTGCTAAGAAAGTTTCAAATTTACCAGGCAGAATTCTTCAAGGATTATGGATCCCTTGGGATGAGGATAACAAGGGAAAGAATGAGTTAGTCTTGAAGAGATTTACTCTTTCTTTGACATAACAAGAAAAATCTTCTGGGTATTTCCCTATCACATTAGGGAGAGGGAAATCTAATTAGGAAGAGGGGGGAAAAAGATTTCTGGAGTGACATGAGAAACTCTGCCTAAAATCTTGAAAAAATAAAATATTTTTAATTTTCTGCCTGAGGCATGGCTCAAATTGCACAGAACAATACTTGGAAGAATATCAGCATAACTGTTTTTTGAGCGGTGGACAGAGAGACAGAGAAAGAGAGAGAAATTACGCCCTATTTTAGGCACTGGATTTGTTTTTATCTAACCCTCCCCCTCCCCCAGCTACAGAGGGCATGAATGGAAAAGAATATCAGGCACATATTTGGATCACTTCTATAAAAATCCATGTAAATTTATTGAAGGAATGCTCTTAAAATGCTAAACTTTAAGAAAAGAGCCGATGCACCCATCAAACCTACAAGTAAAATAATAAAAGCTGAGCTGTGCGCCGAAGGCTGCAGTACTTAGCAGTAGTGTCTCAGTACATCATCCAGAAGGCCGGCTTCCTACTGCAAACATGGTTATGTAATAGAAAGAGTCGGTGTGCTGTTTCTCTGGTAAGTGCAACCCACTCAAACAGTCTGAAACACGTGCCAAATCACAGCTTAAAAAACAAAACAAAACAAACTGCTTAAAGAATAAAACTTATTCTTGCAATGTGTTTTCAGATGAAAATATTTACCACATATCAAAACAAAATGATCTGCACATTCTTAAATGATATAAAAATTAATAAAGTGAGTGAAAGAGACTGATCCTTCTAGTCTCTCCAATGGACTATTTTTATGAATAGCCATTTAATCAGGAGCGTTGGCTAATCTTTCCAGAAGTTCTTTCTCCTTGCTATCAGTAGTAATGTTCCTTCGTTTATTCTTTTCCTGTTTTATTTCATTAGTTCAAGGTACTCCATACACAGCTAATTCTTTCTTTATTCATCTCTCATTCACTTCCCATTACTCAACAACCCAGGCTTCAGGGAAGGGAAGGGCAAGCCCAAGCACAGGGAGGAGAGATGTTCCACTGCTGAATTCTAATTCCTGTGATCAATCCCAGCATCCCTCACCTACCTGGCAAGGAGAAAGCAAGTGGTGGGACAGCATTAAAAAAAGACCAAGAAAGGGAGCCACTACAAAACCCTTCAGATAAAAAAAACAAAAACAAAACAAAAAAAAACCCTTCAGATGACTGTCAGCAATCTGTCAAGTTCTGGCCAGATAACAAGATAAAGGAAAGTAAGTCTTACATCTTTCAGTCCCTAGAATCCTCCACTTCAGCTCCTTGTTTCTGCTGATTCCATCTTTAAATCCATATGCTACTTTCACTACCCCAGATCCCAAATCCTGAGATTATACCTTATCTCCCCCTCTCAGATATAACTCTGCTAAGATCCCCTTACTTCTCCCTGACACTGAGGCATTTCCAACTCGCAGAGTTTCTAAGACTGTAAATGTTTACAGGAGCAAATGGCCTATCTCTTTCCAGAGGAGCAGCTTGTGGATTTGAACCATTGACCTGAAGTTAACTTGCAGGCACATAACTGACAGTGACACCAGGAAATACTCCAGCCTTCAATAACTGAGAACTCAAAAAGTCACTACCAGTTAATCACCAATGTCACTGTGGCAACAGAATATAAAATTCAGGCAATAGCAATATTAGCAAAATGTGCATTTTTTACATAGAATACATATATCTTAAGAAAATATCTTAAGAAAACTTACAAAAAATTTAATGGTATATTTTTAATTAGGTAAACATAAAAACTAATTGATCTAATTTTATGATATCTTAAGGCAGATGTTAGAATATAATCAAAGTATATGAATATTGAATACACAAGTCAAAGGAAGTAAAGAATTTCAGAGGTATATAGATATCAATAGGAAATTTTCAGCTATTTCTAAAATTAACATACATTAAAAGTGACTAGGCACTTTGTGGTCCACAAGTAAAATGTTGAGTTTTGCTACAAAAACTTTCTATAGTAGTCTACTCATTTTCCTCCCCCATCCCATTGAACACATATAAACTATCTTATACGTAGAGCAGTAAGGTTACTTGGATCGCGGATGAGGTGCATATATTAAGTATACATTTGAATAACCCTTTAACTCATATTGTTCTCATCCATTGAATAAATAGGGTGTCTTCTTGTACATAATACGTACCCTGAAAAGGCATCTTGACGAGCACACCCCCATACACTTTCCCTGAATGAAAAATTAATGTCATGTAGGAAAACTACTTCTGCTCTCTTCCTTCACTAGGTATAGCAGCAGAGCTATCATTTAGAAGATCTTTGATTCGTGTTAAATAAATGGGCTATTATTCAGTAAAAGTACCAAGAGCTTTTTAAAAAGGGAGAAGTTCCACTACAACGTGATCAATATCAAGTACCACATTTATGTTTTAATGCACATTAATTTACTGAAAAAGTAAAGGCAGACAAGGTATACGCAATGAGAATAATCATGGAACAGCTATGAAAATAAGTAAAAATCCATGCTCTAAAGTCATTTATGCCATTTCTTGCTCTAGATGCATAGGTAGAATTATGTTTTTAAAACTATAATAAAGTAAAATATAACCTATAAGTATTGTTGACACAAGTTAATTTGCCTTCTTTTAATGGGCTCTTTCTTAAATTAAAAGCTAATCCTAACCACACTTGTTTTATTATACATTTAAATCAATCACTCAAATCCTTTCAGGCTAGTGTCAAGTAAAGTTATAAATCACAGAAGCAAACTCCTTATAGCATGGAAAATAAGAAAACTAATGATCTACTGTACATTTGTTGAAAGCATGTTTCAAACAGAATAAATCTTACTTCAGGCTAAAATAATAAAAACTTGGGAAAGAATTCAAGGCTGACATCATTTTCAATTTATATTGCTGCATAATTTATACCATTAGGATTACTATATCACTGAAAATTATAAGTAGGGATCTCTTATTCTGTGACTATTTGAATGAAATTACATACATATTATAATTTTATAGCAGACCCAAATCTCAAAATTCAAATTTCAAGTCTTTATGATCAAAATAACTCCATTAGAGTATATAAATGCGCAAAATAACATCTGGCCTTCCTCTTATAATTATACTTGCTTCTCAACAGTTAAAGGAGGACAATTATGGAGGAATGATTTAAAAAATAAAAACAATAAATGAATGTTCACATCTAACATTGATTGTATTGTGATACAAGGAAGGAAAGATGCATAAATTCCCAAGAGTGATTTATTAAACTAGTACAGGTATATTGTTTTGATGGAATATAGTGCAGAAACTGAAAATTAAATTATACAGATGACAAAAGATGAGATGAAACATGTTCAGAATATGCAGCTAAAGGAGTAAAACAGCTTTTAAGCAATATTCACAATACAAGTGTATACAGAATAGTTTGTGATTTCTGCTTCCTATTTCCCTTTTCATCTAAGGCCGTGGTTCTCAACCTTCCTAATGCTACGACCCTTTAATACAGATTCCTTAAGTTGTGGTGGCCACCCCAACCATAAAATTATTTTCATTGCTACTTCATAACTATAATTTTGCTACTGATATGAATCGGGCGACCCCTGTGAAAGGGTCGTTCGACCCCCAAAGGGGTCACGACCCACAGATTGAGAACCGCTGATCTAAGGAATGAGAAGGGCAAATGAGAAGAGATGGAATAAAATCCTAACAAGTGCACAGACACAAAACAAAACTGCTGTCAAGTTGATTCCAGTTCAGTCACCCCATCGGCCAGAGTGGAATTGCCAGATGGGTTTTCCAAAGTTGTAAATTTACAGCAGCAGATGACCATATCTTTATCCTGCACAGAGCTGGTTCAAAACACTGTCCTTCCTGTTAATGGCAGTGCTTAGCCACTGCAACACCAAACTCAAAAAAAACCAACCACCAGCACCTCACGGCCATGGAGTTGATGTCAACCTACAGCCATCCCAGTGGACAGGACAGAACAGCTCCTGTGAATTTCCGAGGCTGGTACTGTTTGTGGGAGTAGAAAGCCCCATCTTTCTCAGGACTGTGGCATTAGGCCCTTCTTAATTACCCACTACCAATCCCTTAACTGTTGCATTCTGTTAGTTACGGGGTTGAAAATATCAACAACATAAAGACAGAAACCACGTACCTATTGCAGTCTATTAGATTCTGATTCAAAAAAGGCCCAAAAGAGTACAGAAGAGAGTATATAGGGTTTCTAACCCTTTAATCTTTACAGAAGCAGACGGCTACATCTTTTAAATGTCGATTGGGCAGTGAATTTGAACTGCTGACCATTTGGTTAACAGATCAGGGCTTAACCACTTTACCACCAGGGCTAGAGAAATTAAAGAGGGAGTTTAAAATAAAGCTTCTTTGTATGAAGCTTCTAAGCTGACAAGCAAGACTAGGCTCACAATTCTGACACTACAGAATTTAAACCAGATGAGTCACTTTAAACTGAGCTATGCTTAAAAATTCATAACAATGAGATGCATTAAAATTTCAGGCTACCCAGGAGGCTATTTATCGTATGTGCATGCGTGTGTGTGTGTGTGTGCGCGTGTGATTGTGTGTGTACCTGGTGCATGCACAGCTGGAGCAGGAGCTGGAGTGGAGAAGAGAGGCAAGATAAAAATGGAGAGTGGAGAAGGGAAAGGAGAAGACAGGGAGGGGAAATGTGGACGACTGGGAGCAGGGTGCGAGGGATGGAAGAAAAAAGAGGGAAGGGAGGTGGACAGATTACACCATATCAAACTTACCTGAAATAGCCTGGTAAAAATATCAAATTCAAAAACTGAAATGTAATCGTTGCAAGTTAAATCGATTGTTGATTTTAGAGCCATAGCTTCTAGGCCGGAGCTAATTTGATGGACCTCATGAAGGCATTGCCTGAACACTTTCCATGGGACAATAGTTCTGTACAAAGAAAAGAAGAGTAATTGAATTTCGTGCCAATTAAGACAGACCTTCTACTTAAACTGTATAATTGAATCATACTATTAATGCAATTACAATTGAATTAACAGGCAAATAGTTGAGAACATCATTCATAATTCAGAACATATGCAACGGTTTGTAACTCAATTATTTACAAACAGTATGATAAAAATCTAAATCATTTTTATACTCAAAATAGCACTTGGCTATTAAGATTTCCCTAGAAATAAATCACAAAGAAGGACAAATTCCCGTGTGTCAGAAGCTCTTCAGTGTGTTACCGGGTCACTTCGCCATGAATCCAGATTAACTTCCCCCTTTGGGGCAGGGCTGCTTGGTCCCAAGGGGTTGTTATGGGAAGGACTTAGACAATTAATTTATTTTCTGAAAATAGTTATAAAACGATGAGACCATAGCAGAACTTAACTCATTATATAAAATAATAATGTGCATTTATCATTTCAGGACCGTTATGGTGAAAAGTTATCAAGACATTTCTGGTTTGCAATCCAGT